CATCTTCTCAGCTTTCGTACTTTTAAATTCGTTGAGTAATCTCGAAGCCTGTATATAAGTAAATCATTACAAAAGATTAAATGTTTCCCCATCGTAATATTAGAATACGTAACATAATCCAATCATGTAACTAAGGGAAAATCTCTTCAGCATGCGCATAAATGTTACACCGTTCTTCTATTCAGTCCATTTCTAATTTTTCGGGCGTACGCTCTATTGCGGTACTAATGTAAATCATTAAGATTCATGAGTTATCTGTGAAGTAAACAGTGGATATCTTCACACAATGCATCTTTAAAAGAAATTACAAAAGCAGTTCCAACCTTACTTTTAAAAAGTATTATTTCGCTTGGATTATAAAAATAAATTTGGTACCATGTAACTGCATCAGAGTCCGCCTAGAAACAGATCTCAGGGAGAGACAAAACACTATCTTACATACTTTACACTTTTTTCATAATCGAGACACAGGGACAGAGATCTAACTACAGCTTCTACAGAAGGAGCCTTTTCATTAATAATCTGTCTGAGAATGTATCGTATTTCAGAGCCCATCATCTGATATTCGATTACAACTACCGTCTGACATTCCGCGATTGGTCATTCGAGAATTAGATCCTATCTATAATGTCAATTAGATTTGACGACTGGAATGCTTGACGGGATGCCAGTTACAAGGGGAATACTTTCCCTCGGAGTCGCGTACCTGCTGCTTTAGCTGTTAAGCAGATGGAAGTTCGCTCCTATCTTTGTTTTCCAGGATTTCAATCACGATTTTACGTGGCCAGATTCCCAAAGCAGCGGCCCGGGTTCGAGCCCAAGTTAGGTAATGTGGGATTTGTAGTGGACTAAGTGGCACTAGGGCAGGTTTTCTCCGATTACTTCAATTTCCCCTGCCAATTCTCATTCCATCTACTGCTCCACANTTTAGCTGTTAAGCAGATGGAAGTTCGCTCCTATCTTTGTTTTCCAGGATTTCAATCACGATTTTACGTGGCCAGATTCCCAAAGCAGCGGCCCGGGTTCGAGCCCAAGTTAGGTAATGTGGGATTTGTAGTGGACAAAGTGACACTAGGGCAGGTTTTCTCCGAGTACTTCAATTTCCCCTGCCAATTCTCATTCCATCTACTGCTCCACGTTCATCATCATCTATCATCCGGAGATAGTACAATACGCAAATTAGTGGCCGACGTACCAAGTGACTTAATTTCACCTCATCCCAAGAAACTAAAAACCATGATTTTATGTGTATTAAGTACCTCATTCATATAGGCCTACATTTCTGCAAATCAGTGCGTTTCTATTCGCTTCTTGTTCATTGCCTCATTCATTTAACAACATTCTGTCAACTTCGGCAGGCTTTGAGATTATATTTCGAAAAATTCAGGTGAAGGTAAAAGAAGCTGTCGCTGTTAAGAGGCCATGAAGGGCTACAGTTCCACAGATGGCAGTAAGATTGTCAGCCTTAAGCGCCGGCCGCCATTTACATCCCAGGTAGATTCCTGGTACTTAATTTCTTAGAGGCTGAGTCGGCAGGGGGGCCATAGTGCGGCTAGAAGGATTAAGGATTAGGACAACACAAACACAGAATAAACGCATACACCCACCAAACATCAATCCATTGTGTGGGATTCGAACATATGATCCCGGCTTCCGAGCAAGCGAAGACAGTGCATAGACCGCTCGAATACCGTTACCGGCTATTTAATACCATATATTCCTTCTAATTTGAGAGAAGATCTATCATTAGTCCAGTTTCAATTGGTAAGAAGGCAACGTGTACTGGCAGGCCTACTTCAGCAAAACTAAGATACGTATTTAACAACATGTGGAGAAAAGGATAAGGGAAGAAGGTTTTTTTTTCGTATGAATGATTTTTAAAACGCAATTCTGTCAAACCCAATGATATATTGCTTCTGAGTGAGATCTGCAGACTACGCAAGTGCGGGAAAGATTGTCTCTTGCTTGGGTGACATTATACTACAGGACGAATGTATACGACACCTGTCAAGCGAACTCTTTATCCCTTTGTTCATCATCTCTTTCTAGTGTGTGTGTGTGTGTGTGTGTGTGTGTGTGTGTCACCTTGGTACACTTATCTGAGCACTATCATAAGATGGATGCATATTACAAATACAAACAAACAAAACAAACAAACTCCGTGGTTTCAGTCCGCAAGCGACTTGTACCGACCGAGTGACCGCCGCTTGTCGGCGAAGTTAGTGCCAACTTTAGCGGACAGAGGGTGTCGCGTGGTCAACGCAACGAATCCCCACTGCCGTTAATTTCGATTTTCTAGACCGGAGCTGCTATATCCTTGAACTAGCTCTACAATTATTCTCAGGAGGCTGAGTTCACCCTGTTGCAGACCCACTACTTCTCAGAAAATCTGGTAGCACCAGGAATCGGACCCAAGACCTCTGGATCTGTAGCCAGGAACTCTGACCACTAGACCACAAAGGCGGTCTACATACTACAAATAATGTCCCGTGGTCAGCACAACGAATCCCCACGGTCGTTAATTTCGGTTTTCTAGACCGGAGCTGCTATATCCTTGAACTAGCTCTACAATTATTCTCAGGAGGCTGAGTGCACTCCGTTCCAGACCCACTACTTCTCAGAGAATCTGGTAGCGGCGGGAAACGAACCCGGGATCTCTGGATCTGTAGCCAGGAATTGACCACTAGGCCACAGAGGCGGTCTGCACACTACAAATACGGGCAGGTAATCTCTCAGAGTATATTGACGCCAGATCTACATACCTGGTGTAGTGGCAACACTGTGACTTCCATTTGAAAGTCAAGTTGTAGCATCGGCCGAATTAGCGGTTTCCGTGGTTTTCCTTAGTATCTTCACACAAATAATATATTTTTGCTTTTTTTGCACACCCTTAGCTTTCAACCACTCAAACATCTCGCTGGACACTATAAATTGTTTAGGTGAAACAGCGTCATTAAATAACTTAATAATAAATCGCATATTTGCTCATCACACTGTTTATATCCCTGGATTAAATGCTCGTCCAATAATATGAATTAATGAGTCCCATTCTTGTTTTACTGTGATATTTATGGAAGCAGCGGATTCATTTAAAGATGTGCATTTGAAGAATATAACGTCATGTTCTGTTCTGAGACAAGTAGTAGAGTGATTTATTATTTGAACAGAATTATAACCTCACTGGATTTATTCTGAACTACGTAGTCCATCCACACGTTTCAACTCCATTGGAGCTGAAAGGATTTATGTAAAAGCAAAAGTATCCCTGCAACAGGCCGTGGAGGCCCATAGGGTTGTGAGATGTTGAGGTTACTACATTTGCTAGACAATCGGCTCATAGATGGCGGCAGGCACAATAGATCACTGTGGTCGCGGTGCAAGGGCCAAGAAGGCCCACCCCTTATACATTCATTCATTCATTCATTCATTCATTCATTCATAGATGACGGCAAGGTTGTCAGCCCTACGCGCCGGCCGCCCTTTATCCCCAAAAATATTCCTGGTACCCATTTCTGTTAGAGGATGTGACGACCCCAGGGTCAAGGTGCGGCTCGAAGGAGTAGGTCAATTAAAAAAAATCCAATAACCTCTTCGGGACTTGAACCCGCGACCTTCCGACTTGTAGCATAGTGCCTCAACCAACATATTAAATTTTATACGGCAGTATGCACTAAAAGTATGCCTAGTCGTCGAATTCAACTTCAGCTAAAGAAAAAGGTAAAAAAAATATAGAAAAGCAAACTCAAAATATAACCAAGTAAGGCAGGCTTGTTGATCTAACGATATATGAATTCCAAATCGATATACACGTATTTCTGTATTCAAAAACGACTGATCATAAAAACTATCTGATACAATCATATAGGCATTTTAGACGTATGTGCATTGAGACCTAAAATTTTTTTTCAGTTGTCGGTACAGTGAATTTATTGCTCTGAGACAGTGTGAACAGCTTTGCAACAATAAATTTGTATCTACAAACCAAAGGATACCGAAGCAAACAAGATGTCTACTATACTCGAGATATCGCATAGATAATATAGACTTCACTCTGCGCACACTTCACACTCTTATTTCACCTGCTTCATAATTTTTTTTCTATAGCATGAGAGACTGTGGAACACTCTCTCCCATAAAAACTCATAATGTTTCCCCATGATATGACAAGAGAATTTCCCGAGAAATGGGCGCACGCACTGGTTTCACGCAGAACTAAGCGTGCCAGTGGGTGGTTCTGCCAGTGATTGTCTCTCTGTCGTCAGCTGTCACAATTTTCATGAAAAACGCTTCTTCAAAAGAACTTCTTGAAAGCCTTTGTATTCCTTCGATAACCTACGGGATGCTACGATATTAAGATTGGCCTATGGTTACACGGTGCCCATAGCATCAACACATTCGTAAACTGCGGTCTGTTCGCCTTCGCAACTTTGCATCTGTTAATTCAATATAATTATGTCCATGTAACTGAATTCTTCTTGAGAAGCCGCCAGTCGCTCAGCTACCTAAGAATTTCGCAAAGTTTTCTGGAACCCCAAAATTCATTGCCGTATTTACAAAAGCCCTTCATTGAGCCCCATCCTGAACCAGATGAATCCAATCAATACCACACAATCCTATTTCTCTACAATGTTATTCACCCGCCTACGTCTAGGTCTTCCTAGCTTCCTTTCTTTCTGACTTCTCACCAAAATCATATATGCACTCCTTCCACTTGCGTGCTACATCCTCTGCCAGTCTCGTCCCTCTTGACTTGATCATTCTAATTATATTTGGCGAAGAGTACAAGTTATGAAGCTCCTCATTATGCAACTTTTTCCTAAGCTCCTGTTATACCACTGCTCTTCAGTCCGAGTATTTCCCTCAAAACCCTATTTTCAAATACCTTCAGTCTATGTTTAGCCCTTAATGTCAGAGACTAAGTTTCATACCCGCACTAAACTACGTGTAACTACAAACTACGTGATCCTATTTAGGAGAGGGAAAGTGCAGTAAGTGCTCACCTCCTGGAAAAGGCAGCCTCGCAGTGCGTGCACCTGTACTTCTTGTCGCCCGTGTGCAGCTTGATGTGTCGGTCACGGCTTCTCTTATGCTTGAAAAGCCGGCTGCAGAACTCGCAGCGGAAGGGCATCTGATCACTGTGCGTCTGTAACAAGCAACAAGTACATTGGCAGCTATACACCAAACATGACGTAGGAAAGAAAGTGCTCTGATGAAACCGAGCTGTTCCCGCGGTAGGATAGCTACCAGGAGAACCTAGCTTGTCGGATAACACGAAGTTAGGAGCCAATCCCATAGTGTACCACAGACACAACAGTAAAAGGCAAAACTGTTCTCGTGCTTAGTTAATAAAGCACCACGCCATGAAGATGAATGGGGGAGTAGAGGCATAGCTCCACCATTCTTGACCTGGGCACTAGATGGAGAAGGGTGGTCCGCTTCACGTTCCGACCGCCTCATCACAGGGGAAAGAAACCTAGGCGCCTATTGGACAGGAGGCTGGGTGGAACCCATAGCTGTGGAGCAGATACAAATCTCTTTGTCTTTGCCGGGAATTGAACCCCGTCTTCCAGCCCATAGCCCATCACTATACCAACTCAATACTAAATTAAAACCTGTCTCCACAGGTTGGAGATTGATGAGATGTTGGCTACATTATTAGAAACAAAAATTTTTTAAACCTTATATTATTATTGGCCGGTTTGATCGGAAGGATGGAAAAGTTGGTATCCGAAAGAGAGGCATCTGGAAATAAAATCAACAATGACAGGTCGGAGCAGACATTTAACCAAAACTTGTTATAATGAGTGAATGAGTGTCTGCAAAGAATGTTAGGTGTCTGACGGGAAAGATGTAGGATGAAGAAAAGCGGCAGTCCTCTTTTCTCAATGCCAAGAAGAACTCGATTCTAGCAGAGAAAATATTCATTTTAACCGGAAATAAAAGGGTGCACAAGCGTAAATTATTGTTGGGTACTGGAACAGCATAAATTCTGTCCTGGAACTAGCTGTGCATCAACATAATTTTTTTAAGCGGAAGTCATCAAGATGATGAGAACACCGTTCAGCTGATGATTTTGTTGGAAAAAGTACCTCATAGGACATGACAGCATTTTCAGCTAGTATGTTTTAATTTTTTTCATAATTTAAAATCATTTTTTAATCAGCGAACATTTTCACATCAAGTTTTACATTGTAATACAATAACTTAGTAGGTGTTCGATTAAACGTCAAGGACTGAAACTAGCATTGTCTTGGACTCAAACTGTAGCAGAATAACATCACAGATATTCTCGTTATTATTCGAATATTTAAAGCGTCCATGAATATCACAAAAGAAACAGATCGACCGACTAGACCCGACCAGACTCGACCCGAGCCAAACCAAACCAAACCAAACCAAACCACACAGTGGAGTACTAATAAGTTCTCTGACCATGATTTATTCTGACCGTCTTACAGTGCATACATTTATTCACCTTACTCTTCTCTCTTGCACTACATGTTTCGGCACTAAAGTGCCATCTTCAGGTGCTTTTCGATGTACGTAGAACTACTGCATTACATGCCCTGTTGTCTTTATAATAAAATAACTAAAATATATATTCGTCATATATATTGCTAAATTTTAAATATTAAAAATGTTAAAACTGTTCAGGATTTGTCATCCTTATGTCGTGTTTCAGTACGCGAGTCACACCTATCTTCTTCTGTCGGAGTATTCTTCCTACTTTCATGTGTATTGTGCTTTGTGTTGTGTCTTACTCCTGTGACTACGTGTGTTATACTGCTGGGCCTGCTGGGTATGTAAGTTCTCTGACATTAGGATCTGAAATTTTAAGTGCACTCAACTCACATGACCATAGGCTTATTGGTTCTAGTTTGCTTTATCACCCATCTATATTTCAATACTGTTGTCTAATCTTCGTTTTACTCGTAGTTTTCCTAGAGGTCGCTTCTCGAGAGGTTTAGGCTTACGTACCAGAACTCTGTAAATGTCTCTTCTCTAAGCCATGTGTCAGGATATCGTAGCCTTCTGGATATGTTCTGACGTATAGGAGATGATTATGCTGAGTCCTTGAATATAAGAGACGAGTCTCTGAGTTTACTACCGAAGTTCCTTCACGTATCGTGACGATAATCACAGCAGATATTCCGAACCTACTCCTTTGTCTTATTCTACCACGTTCGTCGAATTCTTTGTTTTATTTTTACCTTACTTCTGTGCCGAACTGTACCTACGAATTTCCCATGGAGTCTTTTAATTAAGCGCATGTCTTACAATGTCTCTTGCGTCTTACACGCGATCGTTATGGCTTGGCTGCATCTCCAGCATGTGAGGTGATGCGGCCGGTGACCAGGTGTTTAATTACTATGGATACTAATTAGAAGATGTGATGAATTTTTTGTCGCCTAATTGGTTGTCACATGTTTTCACACCTTCTCGCATGGTCGACAGACCAAAACTGACAACCAAAAGTACAAGAGAGTTAACTAGATTTTTACTAAATGTGATATAATAAAAGAAGCCTACTTACAAAGGGAACTTCATTCAAATGGAAATCATTAACTTTCATCTTATAGAAGTTCTCTGGCTTTTTCAAATTAGGAGGGAAAATAAGATGCTGCACTATAGAATTCTAATTTTGTCCTAATCTGTCCAGCATAGGTGAATGAATTCTCGCACCTGAACACAGTCGATAGAGTGTACAGGGGTCTGAACCATTAGTGTGTCTGTGAAGTTAAAGCTTTCGTTCGGTTGTCTGAATAAACTGAGTTCTTTTTTGTTATAAAACCAAAACGATACGATTAGGTTAGTTCAATGCTGCCGTCCCACGTATTCTTGACTTCGGTACTAGTCGAGGCGAATGGTCAGCTTCAACATCCAGCCGCTTTACCCCCAGAGAAAGAGCCCCCCCATAACCATTGGATATGAGGCTGGGTTGGCTCCAGAACCGACCTAGACGATGTGGAACGAGAAAATCTTGCCCATACTAGTACTCGAACTCCGACACTTTGGCCGTCCAATCTGTAAGTCTCTATACCGACTGCGCTATCCTGGTTCGCTACTTTATCAAAACCAGTTCTCTGCAAATCGAAATCTCCATAAGACTTTCTCGGTAAACTGAATAAATAAGTCATCGACTTGTAGCTTTGTTGAGTTCTTAGATTTAGACTTACCTTCTATGTGAATAATTTGTGAAATTTAAGGCATGTCTCATTGAGTGTAAACTGGATAATTTCTGGTCTGCGACACGCGGCGCTTTATAAATCAGTCCCAGAGAGAGAGGGGGCTAGATGGCTAGAGGGAGAGTAGAGGGATGTAGCAGGATCCATCATCTAATTTAAGGCAATAATGACCTGAACAAACCGTGCAAACACATTGTTACAGAACTGTTTCTGGATGACATTCCAATGAGGGCCATCTAAAAAGGAACATTCTAGAAAGTATAAAGCAGTCTATCTGAAATGCAGCCAGCATCACTGCGAATTCAGATCTAAATGCAAGATATTAGAAGAGTTTTATAAGTCTTTAAAAATTCTTTGTTATAAGCCGCGACCTGCTGGAGTAGCCCCCACTGGACTGATAACATCTCGGGCGGGCAGTAGTACCCGCGCGTTCAGTCACGAGCTGAAGTGATTCTTAACCGGTCACATTTGTTCTTTTTTCTGTAACAATATAATTTTGTTTATAGCCGAGATAACTGCCCTTGGTGTCCGAAATCATCAGCGATAAATAGCAGTTCAAACATTGTATTTTGAATTGCCTTCGCCCTCACAAGAACAGTATCGCAATACAATGTAACTTAAAAAAAAACGAATATGCAATTGAATCGTCAGTGAAATTGAGGCGTTCAATTTTAAAAGGGGGACTGTTTACAATATTATATTTAAGCATAACATAATCTATTGTTTGCACTTGGGACGGAATTTGTATCATTATATCATTTAAAAGGGGGAATATATGAGTATGTTCACTATTCGTATCAGTTGGATATGAAAACACAGATAAGCAATTACGGCTAAATACGCTACAATTAATATCGTAAGCCGATAAATATATGAATACAATATGTAACAGTAAACTGGACAGCAGAAAGCTGTAATGTAAGTTTACAAATTTTATTGTTAAGTAAAGTAAAGTTGTCCCTGAGCTTAACAAATTAACCACTATGGGGAAGTGGGTGTACAAAGCCACATTTTCTTGACCTCGGCACTAGTTGGAGGTGAGAGGCCAGCTTCACGCCCCGATCGCTTCACCCCCGGAGAAGGACACCTCGGTACCCATTGAACAGGAGGTTGGGTGGACCCCAGAGCCACTCTGGACGAGATCGAGAAGAGAAAATTCTTGATCCTACCGGGACTTGAACTCCGACCCCCTCGGTCGTTCAGCCAGTAGCCAATCGCTATACCGACTCCGCTACCCTTGTTGTTGTTGTTGTTGTTGTTATTGGAGAGGGTGGGTTTCCCCATGCACTTAGACCAGATGTTGGTCCATTGTGCGCCCCCCTGTGATATTCTACCAGTCTCTATATACCCTACCGGTACCGGTGCGTGACATCAGTCCCGACTCAGCCAGCGAGTTCGGCCTCTACTGGCTCAGCGGTATCTCGATGCTTCCCCCATCTACCAGAGGCGTTAGAGACTACTGTTGGGCGGGAAATGTCCTGAATTTGGCTCAGAGGTCCCCTTTTGAGACATGAGGTTCTTTTACGTGCTGTAAAGCTACGACACGGGACCCACGGCTTAAAGTCCCTCCCAGAGGACTTGTTCCCTGAATTTTTCCGCTCTTAAAAATTCCACGACCTCCGCCGGGTTTGAACCCGCGTACCTTGAGTTACGAGGTGGGAACGTTACCCCGCTCCGCTACCCTTGTACTTTATTTTGAGTTCCTCCCAATTCTTTCCATTCAGAAAAAATGGCGAGGCATTTTTAAATAAAATTAAATAAAGGATGGGCTATTTTAATAAGCAAAATGAGGAATAACTTCAGAATCGTCCTGCCCATTAAATGTTTTCATCTTATGCAGAGGACATCGGAAATTTTAGAGTGATGATTATGTAAAGGTAAATACAACACGGGCTACTTCAAAATTCTTATACAATATTTACAGGGTCTGAAAGCGTGGCAAATATAAAGCCAAAGA